CGGCCCAGATGCTCACTAGATGGCGCATCATGGCACTCGTGAAGTATCATCAGCTTGAGATCTGTGCCATGAGGTACATAGATTCTCAAGGGATCACTGGGTGACAGTTGATGCCATAACAGGCCATCACTGTAACTAAAGCGATCTAGTTTCGCTTTGAGGTGCGACGGAAGGTTAACCTTTCGTCCACCAAAATGATCCAACAGCAGGCGAAATGTTCGTCCTGACTGTAACACTCCTTTATATCGGAGACCAATGAGCTCGTCACATGGAACGTCTTCATGGCTTCCAATGTTGACGACTCATCTTGTGTTTTCGCACGAGACACACTATCCTGGTGTCTTGCCTCGAAGTCTAGTCTGCGCTATAACGCGTCAGCCAAGACATTCGACTTACCCGGCTTATATTTAACTTTGAAATTAAATTCAGAGAAGAATGTTAGCCATCTCGCCATTCTCGGCGAGAGGTGCGGTGGGTTTATAGCGGTCCGCAGTGATGCGTGATCCGTATAAACCACATAAGTTTGGTGCCCAAGAGGTGCACCCGAAACTTTACAAGGTCACACTTAATTGAAAGTAGCTCCTTGTCATGCACAAGGTAATCCAGCTCTGCGGCTTTCAAAGCCGAGACTGATACGAAATGATACGGTGAATGCCGTTGTCATCCTTCTGCATGAGCGCGCTGCCGATCGCAAAATTGCTTGCATTGCAGACGACGCTAAATGGCTTATCCGCGTCTGGCAATGCCAAGACCGGTTCCTCTACAAGAGATTGCTTTACGGAAGTGAACGAATCTTCTTGCTCCTTGTCCATTCTGTACCCTTTTTCAAAAGGTCAGATAATGGCTTAGTCTGCTCCGCATAATTCTTGCTGTACTTATGCAAGTAATTAGCGAGCCCAAGGAATTGGAGCAGATCCTTCACATTACGTGGGACTGGCCATTCCTTTACATCCTTTGCCTTTTCTGGATCTGCTCGTACACCATGTGCACCTACGATGCAGCCCAGTACAGGTATCTCGGGGACCCCTATTACGCACTTTTGCAAGTTCACGTATAATTGGGCGTCACCCAGAGTCTGCAAGATAGCGTCTAAATGACACTTGTGCGACTCTATTGCGCTCAGACCTTCTTCCGCCCTACTATGCACGAACACGTCGTCAAAGTAATGGGGCGCGTACGCACGGTGCTGACGCATCACGTGAGTCACCACTCGGTTGAATGTTGCCGGAGCATTTTTCAACCCTTGTGGCATCACAAGCCACTCCCACAGCATACCGCTTGGGGTGCTTACTGCCGTCTTGGCTACATCGGTATCTCTCATGAGAACCTGATAGTAGCCATCCTTCAGATCCAACGCGGAAAAGATAGTTGACTTTCCCATGGAATTCAACAAAACATCTTTCCGCGGGATCGACGTTTGAGCCGGAATGGTGGCCGTGTTCAGCTTATTATAAGCATGAACCACGCGCCATCTACTGTTGCTTTACGCAAACAGAAGGTCGGGATGCAGTGAGGCGACTTGCTCTCACGTACATGTCCTGCCTTAGCTCACTTGTCGAAGAACTCATCGATGTAATCGACTTGTTTCTTCGGCAACGGCCATTGCCTGGTCACACAATACTTGGTGCCAGGCTCCATTTCAATCTCGTGCCTGATGCCCTTATCTGTCGGTAGGCGGCTCGGCACTTCTGCAAGAAACACATCACGGTGTTTCCATAGAACATCATAAAACGGGCTGTCCTTCGAGAAATCCCATCCTTGAGCAGCGAACCGTTTCTTCTTATCGGTTTCCAAGACGCTCTCATCCATTGTGGATGAAGAGCAACAGTCCACCACATTCTCTTCTGGAACTGGTGCGACTGTCTCGTGAATTTTTCCTTCCTTTAGTTCGGACAAGAACAGACCCCACGTCATCTCCGAGAGATTTACTATCTCCTCGGCCGATGCCAAGACAAGTTGGATCATCTCAACTGAGGATGCCTCCGGCATTTTGTCTTCGACGGCCTCGAACAACTCGTTCGTAGGTCCGTCCTCTTGGACCGAGACTAATCCAAGGGTCACTCGTTCGACGTGCCCTTGATCTTCGTAAAACTTCTGGTGCTCGTTGTTTGAGTCACCACGACCTTTGACCTGGAAGAAGGTGTCTTCGCTGTATTAGCCAACGCACTCCGTCCGACTGCACCAGGCTCATGGCTCTGTGCCGGTTCTTGTGGCGCTTGACTTCCTGTAAGCCCACCGTCAACTACCACAGGCTCTCGGCTCTGTGCAGGACTATTGGACGCATGATTACCTGTCATCTCCCCATTCACTACATCAGTCTCCTTGAGCTGGGTAGGAATATGTGCTACCTGACTTTCTGTCAGGGCACTTCCAACTACATCACTCCTTTCGAGCTGGGTAGTTCCTGGTGTCGATTGACATACCGTCATCGCACCCTTGACTGTGTTGGACACAGCATCAATCGCATAAGCCTCTCGCAGGAGCATATCTTCTGCGTAGAGCTAGCGACTGTGCGTGTTCGACTGTCAAACCAAGGTTGGTGTTTAGCCAGCCAAGGCATGCCTAAGGTGAGGTCATACGGACTCTCCTTACCTAGCACTGTGAACTTCTCTTTACAAGAGAAGTCACTGAAACTGAAGGCAAGTTCAATCTTTAGCTCCCTCCGATTAAACGAGCGCGTCGTTCGCTAAGCGAACGATCGCCTCTTCTCGCTTGCCATCCTGGCAAAGCGAATCATAACTCGCCGGACTCTTTTTCAGAGCCGCGAGTTTCATAAAGTTTTGTGATGCATCCGAATCCACGAGAAGGGTCATCACTTGGTCATAGCCTCGTACTCGAGCGCTATAGACCAAAAGGGTTGAGGTCCGACCTTTCGGAACCTCAGGGACTATGCTACCCATTTGTTCGATCACTCTGAACTTAGGGGTAGCTTCAGAGTCCGCGACAGTAGGGCATCCCGACCCTACTACGCTCCCGCATTTCCCGACCCATCTTGGGCAGGTGCTGAACCCGTGCGTCGTGCACGCTGGTTTTTCACACCTCCCTTCGGGTTGGGAGACCTTTTGCTGGCTGCCTTAGCACCAGCAGCTACTTTGGCATAGCAGCGAGCCATCCTATGGCCTCGCTTGCCGCACTTGTAGCAGATCACATCTGCATTGCCTAACTCCATAGGAGTGGCATCAGACTTCTCGAACGACGGCTTGTAATAGGATGTCGCCGAGGCGCTGTTGATTGATTGCTCCTCAACTATGGCAATGTCAATTGCCTCTTTTATCGTCGCTGGCACCTTTCTAAAAAGGGCCTGACGCGATGGGCGGTGCCTAAGCCCATTCATGAACGTGGCCACCTGAATACGTTCTGGTATCGGATCGTCATTAATGGACGCCGACAGCGAACGCATCTCCTGCACGAATTCTTGCAGAGAGTGTTTCGACTGTCGTGCTCCAAAGAAGAGCGCCATAAGCAACACTTCGTTGTTAGGCGGCTGATACATGGCGCGAATATTTGCCTTAAACATCGCCCATGAAGGAAATGCATCAGCATTAGCCATCAGCGCAGAGTATGCCCACTCTGACGATTTTCCACGAAAGTTGGACATGGCATACGACACCATCCTGGTGTCGTCTTCGATGAGCTGCGCCACTCCACATTGCTCAGCTGCTAATAGCCAGAGAGCAATATTGTGAGGGCTAGTTCCATCGAGCTTCGGAGGGTCCATCCGAATGGGCCTCGGTTGAGCAGGTCGGGCAGAGAGCGCCTCAACAGTTCTGTTGAGCGCCTCATTACGTGCCTGCTCAAGCCTAAGCTTATCCTGAGTCTTAGTGATGGACTCAGCTGTGGCTTGGCTGTTTACCTCGGACGCGTTTCTACGCTGTCCGAGCACAAACGCCTCGAATTGCTCCAACTGAGAAACATGTTGCTCAGGAGGACAATGCAAGAGGTTGACCAGGGCTTGTTCACCAAGTCCCTGCACCATATGCTCTGCCGACTCCCTATGATGTTAGGAGAGGTGAGGGAAGTCACTCCAGTCCATATTAAGGACCATGTCAACCACACGCACGCTCAGAGAGACGGGTCGTGGGAAGGACTACTAGTGCTACCAAGTGTAGACGAGCACTTCTACGAAGTTGCCTCGTGCTACTAGCACACAAGCGAGGAAGCGGTTAGACCGTCTTACCTTCGCGTGCGAGGATGTTTAGGAGGTTGGTCGACTGCTTAAGCAGTCGTACTACCAGTTGCCTCTCGCTTAAGCGAGAGTGCAACGAACTTCTAAGACAAGAAGGCACCGACGTCACGTAGAAGCTTTTCGGCTTCTCGTGCGTGGTGCTTCGGTGTTTTAGCAAATTCAAGACTGAGCTATATTTAATGAATTATAATTAAATATAAACTTAACTACTGATTGGCTATATATGTATATAGATCGGATACGCGACTTTAGAAGCGCATCCTGTCGCATGATCTTAAATGTAGATTTAAGATCGCAACTGACGTTCTTCTGAGACGTCGCGATGCCTAGCTTCAACTAGCGTCATCCCTTCCCATGTGAATCCATAAATGGATATCACATTCACGAGGGTGGATCACATTTGTGTATCGCACCCAAGTGACAGGTCAAAATTAATCATGGATGCTTTTAGACCAAACATTAAGTATATAACTTTATGTTTACGAGTAACTAGATGCCTTGTTACACAACGTGCGCAATTTAGGTTTAATTCAGATTATATTTTAGGTTTTATTCAAACTTGAAATACATTAAAATTAAAATCTAGATCGCGGAATAGAAAACCTATTTTTTGTTTAGAAAAATTTCTACCCTAGTAATTCTGTTAGCGACTCCCTTTTAATTATATAACAGAAGGGAGGGATAGTTAATATTTGGCTCATTTCTATAAATACCGTGTTTTTTCTGGTGAGAACGGGTCAATAGATTAATGAATTGTACATATCATTTGCTTTCACTATTCAAGCCCCTTTTTACTTGTAATCCAGTATCGTAAATGTCTCGCCACAATAACAGCAAACTCAGAGACGAAGCGACGACCACGAAGCGTCGACGTGTAGACGGCAAGAAAGTTGCAGCAAATCAAGCGAAACTAATGGAAGGAAATCCTCCTGATATAATTGACCTCACGATTGAAGATGACACGCAAGACAATTTGGATCAATTATCCCACAATCCAATGGAGATTCCGGCGCATTTGGAATCAGATGATTATTTTCAGGTTCTGAGTCTGTCGCGTTCTGCATCCGAATCAGATGTTAAACGTGCATACAGGAAATTAGCAGTACAATGGCATCCCGATAAAAACCGCTTGAACCCACGGGCCGAAGAGGTATTTAAAAAAATTAGCGAAGCCTACGAAGTACTGCGTGATCTGGAGAAACGTAAACATTATGAAAAATACAACAAAGCAGGAGGCCAGAGAGCACGAGCGACTCAGACGACGGAAGGGTTTGGGTTCAATACTAGTCGTGCTACTAATGAGTTCTCGACACGACGTGCACGAGACATTTTTGATGCATTTTTTGGAGCTGAAGACCCATTTGCAGCATTTTATGGAGGTGGTCAACAACATCGTGGGTCGAGAAGCGTTAGAAATGACCCATTTGCGTCTATGGGTTTTGGTGGGATGGGAGTGGGTATGACTATGCCAGGATTTGGACAAATGGGTGGAATGTCGATGATGGACCAATTCTTTAGCAACGGATTCGAGGGGATGAATGGAACAAGTGCTGGAGTATTTTCTTCAAGTACGACCTCATCGTCTTCAATGTTTACGGATCAAAATGGTAACGTCATTCAGCAAAAGACGACGACAACTAAAGGATCGGATGGTCGGATGGAGACTGTCACGGAGGAGTTTCGGAATGGCAAGCTGGTAAACTCATCGTCGTCGGCTACTAGTCGATTGGTCGATAATGGAAGGATGCAGGTTGATGGGAGCTCGAACGCTATCAAGAGAAGCTATCAACGTCGTCGTTCGAGCAACTCGCGTCCAAAGTATTACGGGATTTAGGACAAGAAGTTGAGACGAAAGTAATATGAATGGGAGAACTAAGAAGAAGCTTTAGCTAGCGTTCGATCTAATACACTCCAGAGTAAAAGAAACGCGAGACGTCTATTTTTGTGTAGCTGCTTAGCAATTATAGCTGTTATTCAATCCGAAATGATCTACCCCATAGAAAGCTGCTGCTTTTGCTTAGTCTCGCGACTGATGGTCTGTATCAAGTAGTAAATGAATTCGGCAACACTCGGATTATGTGTCTAGAAAGCATCAAAAGTCAGAGCGTATTCATGAATACGTAAGACAGCAAGCATCTACTACACCTGCACAAAGAAAGCGTGCGCCTGGAATGGAAGTTTGCGCAGTGCACGACCGCTGAATCCTTCGGCCATTTCTGCCGCTTGCAATAACTGTATTGACAGCTCTAAGTCTCCACTGCCATTTTCTGCTCCTGGTGGGCTTGTCATTTCGTCTACTATCCATTCTCTCATAGATCGTCTTCTCAGTATTTCTTGATACGTGAACAGAGGCTGCATGCTAGGTCGAAGAATGTTCACACGGCCAAGTTCTTCCACACAGCTTCGCAAAATTTTAAAGCGTGCATGACATGAAGGAAGTCCAATGTACCTGACAAAAAAAACAAATTAGTGATAATTACATCTTAAACATAACCAAATTCGTGTGTATGCTCAACATACTGCTTGATGTCTGCTCTGTCAACAAACGCGACATCAATAGCTTCAGTAATGTTTGATGTCGTGAGAATCAACACATTCGAATGACGCTTCAACATATCTAACTGCGTTAGCAATGCATTGACCACTCGAATAGCATCTGACGGCTCCGATCCGCTCACTGCAGACTTTCGAGCTGCTGTCAGTGACTCCACCTCATCTACAGACACCAATATGTATCATTATAAACGCATTGGCAATCAATTTTGTCCTTGCCCATGCAAGCTCACCTATCATCACGCAAATAAATGAATCCTCGTCCTCCACCAGTTCCTGAATTTGTCGGAAAAGCTTCATGACAAGTTTTCCGCTTTCAGAAAACCACTTCAGACATCCAATTCACCACATTAGTCTTGCATACAGCATAAAAATAGGTGTAACACGTCTTACTTTGCTAAACAAGCTATGTGCGTTAATCTCCAAAAGGATTGCGTTCGGGTATCTACACAATCAATTTCCAGTCCATATTAAACCCACACATCAAGCAAACATAGCTCCTACAATACCAACCAACCTAGACGATAGACGGATGCTGAGTTTCTGGGCCAGAGACTTGCATAAACTCGTTTTTCCAGTGCCCGGTGGGCCATGCAACAACACCACCCGATTCCACGATATGATATGCGGATTCACTTTCGAATCAGAAAACAGCATTGCTGTCATAGCATAGTCCAGCACATTTTTCTTCACTGAAGAATCAAAGATAAGCGAATCCCATAACCCATCAAAAGCTACAGCTGGAAGCATTGTTTGCTGACACGTTGTTACGCTCTCGTCGTCATCTGCAGTCTCCTCCGCAGGTGCTTCCTACAATACAAATAGTACTAAGTTATTATTTTTCCAATCCCATTACATAGCGTAATATCAGCTACTGTCACTTACATCACTGAGCTTAAACACGTGCACAAATAAATGAGCATTCGAGCGTAGAACTTTCTCTTCATTAAGATCGTCACTCTTCTTGCCATCAATCTCAGTAATATCAATGCGATTCAGGTGTGCAGAAAGTTGCGAGTTCTCAGCTAATGCAACTGAACCTGCAGCATATTCCAATTTATTCAATTACGTAGTTTTTACAATATAATTCTATTGCACGAACCTTTAGTAAAGAATGCACATGTTGTACCGAGATAGTCTGCAACTGCTACTCTCACTTGCTCATAGTCAACGACACTCTCTTGTTTCATATTAACTTCGACTGCACAAGCAATTGGAATCAATTAGAAGTTGGTCATCACTAAAGACCGTCACGACAATGAACGTACCGTGAACATGACGGACCTCATCGTTCATCGCTCTTATGTCAAGTATAGAATATTTCTAAAATCAGTATTGCCATGCCCTACACCTTTGTGTATATGTATCCATGTCTTAAATGGCTACAGTAGTTATACCTTAGGACGTCAAGCGTCAAGAACTACCCAACGGGGTCGAATGCATAAGCATATATAATTATGTGTTGATGAAAAGCATAGTAGAGCCTATACAGCTCGATAAAAGTCGGCTGAAAATGGACTTGGCTGAATGGACGTTGGAAGAAGTGTTTTGTTGTAAAAGAGCTAATGCTTTGACTAGATTTACTCAACGGATAAGTGGCAAGACTCATGTTTGAATCGGGCTAAACTCTAAGCTTACAATAGTTGTCAAGCTCAGGGCCAAAATAATTGCATGGGACAGACGACGAAATAACGGGCCTCCAATCTCAAAGAGCTAAGCGACATGACACGTATGTTTCGCCCGTCATCGTGCGGTGCAAGGGATGATCCAAGCCCGCTGAGCCGAGACCATTGCTGAAGAGCTAGAAAAGATTGGGAGATGAAGGAGCAAAACCAAGATGAGGGAAAACGAAAACAACCGTTTAGAAGGAGGCTCTTTTGAAACAACGGTAACAATACCCTTTATCTCGGGAGGCTTTGAATCGACCATAAGTGTTTGTGACATCGACATAACTTACAATTGCTAAGTATATGGGCAATACACGGTAATAAACAAGGTCCATATCTGCAACAGACCCCTTTGGTCGATCTAACGACACTCCTTTTCGAGATACACGCTTTTTACCTGACGTGAATATTGGTGTTCGAGCCGCAAGTGCTCACGCAGTAAGTCTTTTGCACTCAAGAGCAACACCATGGGGTGCATCATCCTCTAATTGCTGAACGAGAGAAACGATTATCGAAATGCAAGTCAAAGCGTGTAAATCGGTGGTCTATTCAATTGCACATGGCATAGCAAGCGTCAAGTTACGAATGCAGCGCAATGAGCAGCGGAAGTGAGCCGCCGTCGGGCTGATCAGTCGTACTGTAGGGAGATTCCTTGTACTTATGATACACTAAGTTGCCACAGCGATTCGTAATCGTTCTTTAGACACTAATTTGCCGTAAACATATTGCCATCTTGATCGTCTCGTGGCGAGCGTCGTATTACGCGCGCAACTGTCCATAATTTACAAGAACATTTGTAGTGATTTAATCTCAGTATTAGAGAAGAACAGACCGTCTATTTCAAACATTAAGGATTGGAAAGATGTCTGGAGTGCTTCTACCAGGACTTCGTCATTCTTCGCCTCGCTGGCTCAATCTGCTGGCTCGAGACGTCGGGCGTCACGGGGGACACTCCGAAAAGGGCACGTGGAATCGGGTATCCAGCCCGAGGTGTAAACAGTGGCTCAATGATCGCAACAAGCGCCGGGCACCACACCGATCAGTCCCGATCGACCGCTGATGCACCTGGACGGGGCCGATCAATTCACGTTCTTGGCAAGTTCACTTCGTGGGACCGAGATTCGCGCTCGGCGATCGAATCGGCGGCTTGAAGGCTGACGTAGAATAGCAGGAACTATTGGGGAAAGAGGGAATGATAACCGCGGTCGTCGATCCTCTCCCCCCGGGGGTAACAGGGTTGGTGCTCCCCTTACGGTTAGCACGCTGCGCTTGCCCCCCATAGCGCACGCAGCAGAGGGAAAACCTCCCCCTCTTATCCTGGGCCTCCCGTTGGAGGGACTTCCCGCCCTGGTCGGAGGGGGGCCGGTTGACCGGCTCTTTGAAGGTCTTCGTCTCTTGGCCGTTGTTGCTCGAAGGCGCGAATTGGGAAGTGGTTTAATCTCAGTATTAATATATGATTACAACCTTTTCAGCTCAAGTTTTTTTGCCGCCTCAGTAACTCAGGACCCGTATCTCTTCTTTAAATGGTCGAATTTTTCAGGAGACAAACGAGCTTACGGGCAACGCTTACCTATAAACTATAGCCTTTTTAGCGAAAACGGAGGCGCCTGAAAGCGCATTTCCTTGCCTCCACGTTTGTAGTTTACGCAAGGCAATTGATTTGCTGCAAAAGCTTCCAGGTAGATGCTCAGAGAAAAAAACTGCCATTCTATCGCAAACACTAGTCAGTTCGTCTCGACGAGTTCCCAATTAATACAACGGCGCCAGTAATACCGTCGGAGACTTAGACACTATGTGTCGAATGGTTTACGACTCGTCTCCTTGGCAAACGTGCAATGCCAGGCAGGCAAGCTTTTTAATCACTTATTATCGTATGCACTCCATCACTCGCATCTGATATATGACAAGTAAAAAGACGAGCAATCTACTGGCACCGCAGCCCATCAGTGAATCTTAGCTGGTAGCAGCGTATCAGGCGCAAATGGCTCATAGACCTTCGTAAAACCGCTTCATTCAACTTCACGGCAGACAAGTCAAGCAGAAAAGTCGGTGGCTGGTGCCAACTGCCCTTACTGATATCACCACCGAACCTTACTTCAAATCCTCGCTAAAATGACCAATCGTAGTCTTACCCTTGCAAAGTCGCTATTATTGTACACGGGGCTTGTGAGATTCGGAACCAAGAAGGGTGCGTGAGTGAAACACTGCGTTGTGAGTGCCAGAAAGCAAAAAGAGCGAGGGGAAGGAAGAGCGAGCGAGCGAACGAGCGAGCAAGCGTCAGTACAATATCTATATTTACTCGTTGTTTAAACCGACGCGACACTTTTTGTGATAGTGTCTCTTCGTGTCACTACTTCCCATACGACCATCACTCTTGCTTTCCGCACTGTGACGAGTCGACAGAAAAGAGAAACGACTTGTCCGCACTCTACATACAAACGTTAAGTCAAGTGCATGTACCATGGCGCACATGTTAGAAGCACGTATGATGTCGCGCAACCCATCAGCTTCAAGTCTTACAGCAGCAGCACGAAGTGCCAGTCGTCGTAAGTCGTCCATGAGTGGGCCGTCTTCGAATGGAAGCACCGTGTCCAGTACGCCACGTAGTCGACGGCCGTCTCTGTCACGCGATATGTCCAATAACAGCGTTTCCAATGCCATTGCAAGCTTTGACATGGCAACACCAAAAAATGGCAGCAGACGAGGCAAGTCACAACCCAAGGGTGACACTTTGTCTACCCCCAACCTCATTGACCTCAAGACCATTACGGCCGAAGAGATTGAATGGGAAGGATATTTGTATAAACAACGTAAGATTGTCAAGAGCTGGACACCACGTTACATTACGTTACAAAATGGTACTGTCTCAGTTTACAAGTCCAAGAATCATGCATTAGCCAAAGTCCAATATCGTGGTCGATGGGTGATTAAACAAATTGTAAGCTCTTTACCAACTGCAGGTTTTGGAGGCTCGAAATTGAAACCAGAAGAATTGGGATTTCGATTTCTAGCGACGAATGGAAATTTGATCGATTTTATTGCTGCGTCGGCGGTAGAGAAAGCCATGTGGATGCATGTAATGCAATTAAGTTTACAAAATACGACGGTGAAAGAACCATCGCCAGTGCATCAAGAACGACTACGTGGGGATATGTCTCCTTCGCCTACAACTCGTTCAGCAGACGATGTCGTGTCGCGGGAATCATCGATTACGATGCATCTTGCTGAAAAGTTTTTAGCTGATTTGGTGCATCTGATGACGGGAACATCGGCTGAGAATGTTATTGATCTCTTGCCGTTATTCTTGCGGCAATTGAGTAAAGATGTCGAGCTATTGTTTGATCTTGAGACGTGTGAAACGACGCAGCCATCGTGTGTCTTCAAAGGCATTTACCATGGACGTGAAGGATTTGTCCACTTTGCTTCGTTGTATGTGAGTAAATACTCACTCGCAACGAATGTGGACGAGAAAGCTGCTCACAGAGCGGACGATGATGATCACCATGCATTTGCGTACTCAGGTTATCGTCTTATCAATACGGTATCTGGATCAACGACTGAAGGGAAATTTGGACTACAGATCACATTTACGCCGGCGCGACGGATCTCTCGCGTGGTTCTTTCGTTCCGTCAACGTAGTTCGTCTCGGCCAAGAGCTCGTCGAGTTACAACGAACCCGATGGCAATTGCAGAACATCCAGCGTGCTTTCATCAGTACTGTCTCACGAAACGCTCGCTGGCTTTATCGTTTTCGGACTTTAATGTGGTTGGCGTATTGGGACAAGGTGGCTTTGGTACTGTTGTGCTTGTGCAGCGTCACCTTAATCCGGATGAATACTTTGCCATCAAGATTATTGACAAACAGTCTGGAGCTGAAAGTGCGCTAAAGGAACGACGCATATTGTCGGGTGTCCGTCATCCGTTCTTGACGTGTTTGCGCTTTGCTTTCCAGACGCAAACAAAATTGTATCTTGGCATGGATTACTACAAGGGAGGAAATCTGTATTTGCATATGCATTCCTCCAAAATGGACCCGAACTTGTCGACAAGTAGTGGTCGACGCTTCCCGGTGGAGCGCGCTCGCTTCTACGCTGCTCAACTTGCGATTGCGCTTTCGTACTTGCACGCGCATGGCATTATCTACCGTGATCTGAAACCGGACAATATCATGCTCGACAAGACGGGTAACATTCGTCTCGTGGATTTCGGTATCTCAAAGCAGCTACGCCTCGAAGGAGAACCAGGGAGTCACAGCTACTCTCAGGCAGGAACGCTGGCTGGATCGCCTGCGTACATAGCTCCTGAACAGTTGCTTTCTCAGAAGCCGCAATATGGTATGGAAGCAGATTGGTGGAGCTATGGTGTGCTATTGTACGAAATGCTGACAGGCAGCACTCCGTTTTTCGACGCAAACATTTCGCAAATGTACAAGAAAATTCAGACTGCTGATGTCAAGTACGAAAGATATCCACCGATCGATGACGATGCTATTGATTTGCTACAGAAGCTGTTGGTTCGTAATCCTGCGGATCGCGTTGATATACATGGTGTGCGTTCACACCCGTTCTTTGCATCGATCAATTGGGAACAGTTGGAGTTGAAGGAAGTCGAACCGCCTTTTATCCCGCCGACTGAAGAGTTGATGCAGAATGTGCATGAACACTTTCGCAATATGAATGTAAACGAAACGATTGGCGACGCCCCTAAGGCTATAAACGGAAAGAAGGCGTCTACCGTCGCGAACGCCAACGATGAGTCGCACTTTGATGAGTTTAGCTTTGCGTACGACAAGACCCGCGATACGTTCGACGATCTGTCCATGGCAGACGAAGGATGGTTAATGCGACAGCTACAAGAAGGCGCAGCAATGCGCGGGCGATTGAATGCCAGTGATACCGACCCCGTTCCGGATGACATGGGCAGCGAATACGAAATCGCACATCCGATAATGAACGGTCAGGACAGCAGTGAAAGCGACGAGGCGGAGATTGAAGCTACTAGCATTTGAGCGTGGCGTGATCGCTCCAAGCAGCTTGGGGAACATACATGTAATAATCACGGTGCTGGAACAATATTGCGTGAACAAGTTGAGCAGTCCGGCACCACAGAGAAGCGGCAAAGGGTTACAGAAGCACACTAGATAACGAAAATATTTGTCCCAAATCAACAACGCGTAACGAGTTGCTGCGAGAAATTGGTGAGTCTTTGGTCGATACTCGATTACGAGGGCTAAGCTACAAACAAAAGAAATGAAAGTGTTTTGTGAGTATATTGCAGGCATATTATTATGCACATTCTACAGAGGATACAACTACATTAGGAAACTGCTATTACGACACTGTCTTGTGTCTCTTACGAACTGGAGTGACATCTGAACTGGTGCTCGTGTCTTCTGGTTCATTATCGCTATCCATTACAAGGTTCGGCGCACGGGTCCGCCGCAGGTTAGCAGGTGCTGTGTTCACTGCACGGTTGATCAAAGCTAGGTCCTGGAAATGAATAAGCAAAAACAAGCGTTGTAAACACCAATTGAACATTGAAAAGAAAAAGGTGAGGACATACCCGTGCAGGACTCTCGCCAATCGCGTAAAGAGCGTGGGAGCGCGGCGTCAACTGCGAGCGCCGATCCAAGCGTACTTGTTGCAACGGAGACATGAACACGTTCGTGGACTTGACGCGCTTTGGTGATGTTTGATTCATTGATACAGGCAGTGTTTGCACTTCAGCCGAGGTGAACATCTGCAGTGCTGAAACAGCCGGTGACGACACAAAAGGCGATGATCGCGCGCCATGACGAATGGGACGAGGTGGTGTGCTGAGAAGTACGCTACTTCTGTCACTGATTGGGTTGGAAGAGTTACTATGCCCTTGAAAAATTTTCTGAACGGCTTCTGACGCTGCTTGGGCAATACTTTCAGCATCAGAAGTAGACGCCGCTAAGCCCATTGCACCGTTGCTAGATGTAAACCCTGGCGTGAGCACCTGGAGGGTCCCTGACGCCTCAGCAACAACAGCATCCGCCGCAGCCATTTGCGACTCTTGGTACTGAAATTGCAGAATAAAGACCTTCATCGGCGTGATGTAGCACCGATTGTAGAACTTGATAATATCACCACGCGAATTCTCGTTCTCTAGTATGATGCCGTGCGTCACACCTTCCGTGCTTGCACTTGTGCCAGTTGGAATTCGCTGATTAAGCTGTTTGTAGCACGCCAACAAGCGCTTGAAGGACATGGTCGCCGCCGCCTTCGAAACAGTAGGGCCCCGTGACACTTTGCACACAGCATAAATATTGCACAACACTATCAGGTCCAGGTGACGGTCTCTCAGGAGGCACTGGTGCGACACGATGCACTCCTTCACAGCAGTCCAGATTTGGTTTTGATCCGTCGAATCCAAGCCCAATATATTGCCGAGTTGGTAAACCCTGGAAGCTGCGCGTGAAAGCACCATTCGGTAAAAGAGGCGAAGCACAGGCGCATGACTAACTGCACCGATGGTAGAAGTACTAACTTGCCCGTTTAAACGATCCGTCAAGCTCACAGGTGCAGGACCAGAGGCGGAATGATGTCGAGCTCCAGAAAGAAGCTGATACAGCGCGGAGTCTGATTTCCACACGAGAGAGTCTAGAATTCGGTTTTTTACATCGCCCATGTGCTTCTTCAAGGCAGAAGGGAGATTCGGTGCGTACTTGACGAAGCTTTCGCTTGTAGTGACAAAATGAAAAGCATTCACGTGCAAATGCTGGAGCAGGAACGGGTACGAAATTGTGATGAGCGAGTGCGCTTTGAGCACCACCTCAGCGCTACATGCAAATAGCGCTGCGAGAAACACTTTGTTGTTTAGCAGCTTGGAGAAGTCTTTGTTGCGTAGTCGCTTGCGCTCTGACATCAGCAATGGCTCTAGCACTCGATAAAAGAGAACAACAGTCAAATTTTTCGTCCGTTTGAGACTGTCATCCACGCCAGATGAGAAAGATGCGTTCTGTGAATTACCACTTTCATTTGCATCGTCATCGTGGTCATCATCGATGGCCATCGCCGTTGTTGAGCGCATGCTCCCTAACGTAACTCGGCCTGTATTTCGAGCTGCAAGCAGTAACTCAGATTGTTCGTGCAAAACGTGCGTGATGCGCTCTGTTGGGTCCATTGCACAGTCGGAGAAGAATTGACGCAGCTGTAGCGTTACGGGCGTCAACATTGTGCTTGACAAAGTTTCACGCACCCAGTTGTTTGTCTCTACTGCCGAAGTGACTGGCGTACGCATAAAGTTAGGCGATGGGCGAGGACTTGCACCTGCCGGAAAGAACCGCATTTCTCCGGGTGAACCTTGCCATTGCCACGAATGCATCAACGGCGAGTTTTTTCCTCGACCATGTTGTTGGCGATGTCGAGGTGGTGTCATCATTTCTCTCGTTACTGGAGTAGAACTACTGTCTCGTCGCCGAGCCATTATATTGCGTCGCACAGGGGATGACATGATATGTGTAGTACTTCGGCTAGTTTTCAACGTGCCACTCGACGTTGTATTCGAATTGGAGTCACCAGTCTCATTATCTGTTCGTACAGCTAGATTTGGTCCCATAATAACACGTCGAACGTGAGCATTTAGATAAAAACGCTCATCCAGCTTGCCACAGCCATCAAGATAGTCTTCCTTGTATTTCTCCGACAACAGTGCCACGTTTGCTTCAAGCACAGCGTCAGCAAAAAGTGTCCTACTCAACATCGTATGTTCCCCTGGTTCCTTCTGCAAAACACCCTCCTCTCTCAATTGTTGAAGTACAAGTTTCAAATGTTCAGAAGCACGTAAGACGTCCATCGGATCAACTTTCGGTGCTGCACACAGAGCTTCCAATATCTGTGCACTCTTTTTCTCGCTCGTTTCAGGTATAACCGGTGTCACTTTTTCATTTCCTAAAGCTCCCATTGCACTCAACGCTGCAGCCACCTCTGCCTCTACTGTCACATGTGACACTTGAGAATTGACAATGACCAAATGCAGCGTTGCTAGCAGTAAATGGTAAAGTTGTCCTAGTCCGGCATAATGATCCCCTAATCTTTGTTTTGCCAGTAGAAACAATAACCAGCCTCCTTCAAATAATGTGTGATGACGTGTACGTCTCTTGAGATCCTTATTTTGTTCTTGATTAGCTACGAAATGTTCCGGTTCCGGATCAATCGATAATTGGGATTGATTACTTGTCTCCAAGGTCGAAAAAGACTCTTGAATGACACAATATTTCTCAAATAATAGAGTAGCAATTGTAAATTCTTCTTTAAGTAACGTCGTAGCTGTTAAGAGGTCTGGATCCAGTAGTAAACGGTTAAAAAGACTTGTAAAATAAAGTAGAAACTCCTGCAATCCGACACCTGCCTCAGCTAATAATTGGACCAAATGCCATTGCAATATCATCTCGTTATTTCTCCCATCTTGTTCCTTTTCCTGATGAATTTCTTGTGTCATTCCGGTGGCTACAACTGCCACTAAAGCCCAAATTTTATCCGGTTCATTCTCTTCACTACGTGCATTGCTCTCATTTGTATTAATGCATGGAGCTGATGGAAGAATTTGATTATATAAATTCTGGGAGTGATGTAATAATTTTGCATCGTTGCGGATATGTGCGAACGCCCCCGACGTCGACGTCGACGTGAAGAATCGAGAAAGCGTTCCCGCCATTTTCAAAGACTTGGAAATGGATTTCTAACGAATTGAGACTTTTCATTCCGGACGAAAAGAGTTTAGAAAACAAAATTGGTCATACCATTTTGAAATGGGGTTTTATAAGTTCTTAGGGTATGCTAAAGGAGGACAGACACTTGAGCAACTTATCTTGAGTTTCCAAGTTGCTGAATAAACGATCGTCGCTCGGCGAGGTAGAATTGCAAATCTTCATTAAGTCGTTGTGTCTTGGTCGACGAATCGTTATCGGTGAGAGTAGAGATGGCCTCTTCAACATTTTGGATCTGCTGCCGGATATGATACAGCAAGTTAAGCGCATCAATACGGTCTTTCAATGACATTCCCACATAGATCGCAGACGGCTCTGATTGAATTGGTGTCGTTGAAATACCGGACGTTAGGTTTGTTAGTGGTGACCGTGGTAGATCCGACCTGGTTGTACTTACTGGTTGTAGAAACGTATTGATAGGGCTAGAACTATTGACCACAGCAGCAGCAGGGACCGGCTTAACCGTTGTTACCCGTTGGCGCTTGTGGTTATTCGACAGTGGATTCGATGCAGATACCAAGTGTTCCTCATGGTTTTCATTGTCTGTGTTTTCTGACAGACCTTTTGTCGTCTTATTGCCACTGATTTTGACTGATTTGTAACGTGTTGGAACTTCACCGTTTAGTTTTTTCTGAGCAATGAGCTCCAACATTAAATTTTTGGGTCGGTTTTTGTAGTAGCGTACACCGAGGTACGAACAGACTTTACGAAGTTCTCGATAAGTAATTTTCGAGGTATCTCGACCTTGAATGGCACTAGCATAGCTTACAGTTTGTGCCCCTCCATTCTCAAGCTGCTCGCGTTGAAGAATTTCCACGTCGTCTAACGATAGAGTCTCAGTAAACGACCACTCTGACGCGAACTCATCTCCTGTTGATCTCCCCATTTTTAAAATGGTAGAACAAAGGTAGAAGGGAATCGTAAAGTTGCGCTTAAGTAAGTTACAACTGTAGATTGTGGTAGAATAAACGAATGCTATCTGATTCTGCATAGTTTTCATGACTTTGACGGTGACCAACCAATTCTGTTGAGAATGTTATGTTACTCCCTGAGTTGGTTGTCAACCACAAGCAGCTCAACTTAATTTTTTTACGCCTATCGCAAAAAAAGACTACGATAGAGAGGAAGCTTGGACCACATTATAAAACTATCTTGGTGTTGTTAGAGGGGTGAACGTATAAGAGGACAAACCGTTCACGGTCTTTCATCATAAGATCTCGTATAAGTTAACCATAAAGCTCATCCCATTTTTCCTTGACAACCAGTCGATCTATCCACTTATTGGCTCCTATCGTGCTCCGTACCCCCAATCACGATCCGTCATACTACCCACGCAGCGCATAATAAAATACTTGGATACCTAACTAAATACAAAAGTCGTTGACATTCTGAATTTCACCTCATACCCCACAAGACCCTTGAACTCGATTCAATTCGCCTTTTTTGCCATGACATGGCTCGGTGCATTGGTCGGAATGCAACCACGTCGTGTAAGTGACCGCTTTGCATTGCCCAAGCCAACGTGGAAGCAAAGAGTGCAGCACTACGCACCAATTTTCCGCTGGCTTCCAAATTACAGCATCAAACGCGACCTGAAATTCGATCTGGTAGCTGGAATCACTGTAGCTATGATGCTTATTCCTCAAGAGGTGTCACTTTCCACTATCATGCACGTACCAGCTCATCATGGACTCTACACAGCGGCTACATCTCCATTGGTGTACGCCATCTTCGGCTCCAGTACGGTACTGTCAGTGGCCAGTGGCTCTGAAGTGTCACTTCTAGTAGGCTCGACCCTTGAAAACATTGAAGACCAGGATGAACGCACAACCACCGGTATCCTTATGGCCTTTCTTAGTGGCTGTATTTTGCTGTTGGTCCGAATCTTAAACCTTAGTCAGATTGCCGATTTCTTCTCCCGTCCAGTAATGGGCGGCTTTATCTCGGCCGGTGGGCTGCTCATTATGCTCTCGCAAGTCCCTAATGCTCTTGGTATTAAGGTCAAGTCGTCAGAGTATCCCCCTATGAAAGTGAACGAGGTGTTTAAAAACATCGATAACATCAACTTCAATGCCTTCGCAGTCGCTACACTGTCTTGTCTCTACTTGATCGGTATCAAGATGATCAAAAGGCACTTCTTTCCGTCCCCCGTGCTCATGCAGCTTTTTGAAAGTGATACGCCACGGACAAAGGAACACGGCAAAGTTGAAGAGGAAGAACGTTTCGTGCCGCCTGTGACCAATCCAGGTCATGGATTTTCACTCACTGACCAGCAGTACACGGCGTACCAGGCACAGCACACTCCTCAGGAGGAACAAGGGTCGCTGATCGATGCTCGAAAAAAAGCTTGGCTTACGGTGGAGCAACCCAAGTCCCAGGGAGTTTTACTAGGCATTTTCCTCATGCGCACGATATGCGACCTCGGCCCGTTGGTGGTTTGCATCTTCGGTGGCATTGTCGGCTATGTGCTGGGACCCTCGCACTTGAAGTTGACGGGTAATATTCCTGGTGGCTTCCCTGAGCCGAGGGTACCATGGTACGGCTTTAACTCTAACTTGATCGACAGTGACCGCTTCGGCACGATCTTCTACCACGCAGCTACGGTGTCGATCGTTGTGTTCCTGTCAAGTATTGCTATGGCCAAACGCTTGGCTATTCAGCGTGGAGAAGACATTAACACGGAGCAGGAGCTGACTGGTATTGGTATTGCCAGCGTCGTCTGCGGGTTTTTTCAAGCCATGCCCCCTACGGGCGGTATGTCTCGCACAGCAGTGAACCTACAGAACGCTCACACGCAGCTGGCATCGATCGTCACGTGCCTGATCGTGGTGATGGCTTTGTACACATTGACAGGTACGCTGTACTACCTGCCGAGCGCGACTCTGGCATCGATTATTATCGTGGCTGGCTGGACTTTGGTCGAGTTCCATGAGGCCAAGTGGCTGTTCCGAGTGAAGCGCGACGAGTTTTTCGTGTGGACGGCGTCGTTCGTTATGACCCTGGGTTTGGGTGTGCTAAACGGTTTGATTGCTTCCATCGTTTGCTCCGTCCTCGCTCTCATGTGGAAGTCCAAGGTGCAGCCGGTTGCCATATTGGGTGAACTGGACAATGGCAGCTACGTCGACCGTGAGAGATTCCCAGAGGCGAACCATTTAGGCGATATCATTGCCATCCGTGTGGAAAATTCGCTATACTTTGCCAACTGTGAGCGTGTGGCACAGTTTATCGACCGTGAGATGGTTCGCCTGCAAATGCTAGGTATCACCACTCGGGGTGTTATATTAGACACGTTCCACATGAACGACATGGATGCCACAACGATTCAGGTGTTGTCTGACATTCAGGAGAAGCTGGCGGTACGCAAGGTGCGCTTTGCCGTCGCGAACGCCAAGAGCCGCTTGTACGACATGTTGGCAGCCACGAACCTGCTCAAGCGAATTCTGGCGAATGACCCAACCATTTCATTAGAGGATGCTGTGCGCATGCTGCGCGAATTGCCACCTCTTGCAAACACGTCGAGGTCATCAGGGTCAGGTACCCCGGTATAACGAGCAAGTGGAAACGTGATAATGAAAAGGAAGGAAGGGGAAGGCTACTGAGGCGGATGCATGTCCCCCTCATTCGTGCAGCCGAAGTGTGACGTCTTGCGTAGTGTGAATTAATGATCAAGTGTCTTATATTTTTCAAGCTATCTGCTTGCCTTTGTGTTATCAGAGTCACCTGTAGTGCTAGAGTTCCAGGCATTTTCGATAGCCTTGTCAATGATGGCATATGCCCGGACCAGCTCGGATACCTTCGACCTGCCTACGATATCACCGACTGATTCATGCCGTGACCCGCGTAAGTTGGACTCGAATTGCCCGTAAGCTTTTCCTTCACATCATTCACCGCCTCCTTCGCACGTTCCACGATAGAGTATGATGACAACGACTTCTCCGCAGCGGTGATCTGGTGGCTCAATACGTTGAGGTTGAAGTTATCGCTCAACGTTCTTTTCACCACCATTTCCACAGTGACGAGGTTGCTCAATACGCAACCGCCTTGATGTCCAGCCTGGTAGTTGCTCTTCCCAAAGACATCTCTTTGTACGTCCTTCTCCATCTCGTCCTTGCCATTGACAGCGCTTTCCATTGCACCCTTGACATCCGACGAATGCGAGTGTTTCTCATCGTACCTTTGAGCTGTCACAATCAAGACGTCCATGGCTAAAGTGATAGCATTCATCGCTGTGCGAGCAGATGCCACCCCCTCTTTGGATGGTTTGTGGCTTTCATGGATCTGACGGGCCACACTCTTCAGATCCGCGGATACATCTTTCGCATGTCGAATGTCGCTTCGCATGTGCAATCTGGCCGTGTGGAGAAGGTGGTTGCCATGTTGACTATCGTACTCCGACAGGTTGTTCTTAAGAGTCTTAAGGCACTTGACCGCGTCATCCGCAGTAATAGTCAAGACTTGTGCCAAGGAGGCAAATTCCTTCTCAGCAGTGATGTCGAGTTCCATAGTAGACTTGCCCATTGTTGATGTATAGAGATCAGAGTGTGTGGTGTTGGTTTGTGCACTTTCAGTCACGTTTCGAAATGATCATTTGAAAAGTTTGCAACAAGGTCATTGCGGGATGAGATCATGCTACCGTTCGAATGGTGGGTGTCCATTAAAAATAGCATTCTCAACGTTGAAGTTTTTTTACGTCCACGTTGGCAGACAAATTCCGTAGAATGATGTTTATGATGTATGTCAAGATAGTTGTCACCGATCGGTCAGCGTAATATAGATGGAGACATGCGCAGATAAGATTTATGAACCTTGACTTTGGTCGTAAATTTATCTCTCATCTACAACATTCCGTTCGTTCTTCGCGTCGCATAGTGATGAGTTGTATCACTTTCAGTCTTTCAGCTATCATTTCTCAGCCGAAGAAGGCGTAAGATCATTTGGAATCGTGGTTGCACAGACAAACACAAGAATCTATACTAGACGCATGGAAAAAGCTGCTGACCTTATTAAACAAGAGTTCTTGAAATTGAAGGTCTTGCTCGTCCAGACGGCAAATGACGTTACCAAATGCCTCAAGACTTTAAACATGAACCTTGGCAAGTACGATAGACGTCATGGACTTTACTTCCGTAGTACGTCCAAGTACTCTCTGAGAAGTGACATTCGAGTCGTGAAAGAATTGGCTGTGGACTTACGATACGCGGCCAAGCGGATCTATAAAAACAAAAACCCAACCAAGTCGGAGATATATACTTCCGTATCTTCAAAAATACGGAAGTTTGCTTGAAGACTAAGGTCTCTGCTTTATCATGATGTTATCAAGCGGAAGGTATTCAGGCATCATAAAAAGGTAACGTTTCATTCGTATGTCAATGGGGTTTCATGACTACCGCTGGATCACATGCATTAAGGTATCTGATAGTCTTTCGTTGCATCGTCTCCTTATGAATATGTGAAAGATCAGGAGGGTTAGAAGGTGAGGCATATTTAAGTACGCTTACGACCTATTATATCCTGTCGCCAGGTAACAGAGTTTACCGTGGCGACTTCTACTTTAAGTACTAGGTGGAAATAGTCCTCGAACAGCCGATCGCCGTCGCGCAGAGTCTTGTCTCGAGATGATCAGGTTCCGTAGCGTCATCGCGGGTCCCTGGGGTTCGTGGTTTTCGGATCCCTGGTGTAGACGGGCAATTCTACGAAGTTGCCTCGTACTACGAGCACACACCTTATGCACAAGCGAGGAAGCGGTTATACCGTCTTACCTTCGCGTGCGAGGGTGGTTAGGAGGTTGGTCGACTGCTTAAGCAGTCGTACCACCAGTTGCCTCTCGCTTAAGCGAGAGTGCAACGAACTTCTTAACACTAGAGCACCGACGTCACGCAGAAGTCTTTCAACTTCTCGTGCGTGGTGCGTTTGTTTAAGTAAATTCAAGACTGAGCTATATTTAATTAATCATAACTAAATATATACTTACCTACTGATTGGCTATATATATATATATATATATATATAGATAGATCGGATATGCGACTCTTTAGAAGCGTATCCTGTCGAATGATCTTAAGTCTAGATTTAAGATCGCAACTGACGTCCTTCTGAGACGTCGTGATGCCTAGCTTCAACTAGCGTCATCCCTTCTTATGTGAATCCATCAATGGATATCACATTCACGAGGGTGGATCACATTTGTGTATCGCACCCAAGTGACAGGTCAAAAGTAATCATGGATACTTTTAGACCAAACATTAAGTATATTACTTAGTGTTTACGTGTAACTAGATGCCCTGTTACACCTGGGGTTCGTGGTTTTCGGATTGAGAGGCCTCCAGCCAGTGGTTGACATCATGGTCAAGGAATGCCGAAGCCTCCGTGACAACACCTTCCTCCGCGGAAGCGTTCACTTGTATAGAGGCTCCGGATTTATATAACGATATTCGCCAGTCGATCCACCATTTTGTTGTATGAGCGATAGTGGTGTCCCCAGCTGGAGACATTGATATCGTCAGCAATGGATCTTGCCTCTCGGAATAGCAGCGCCAGGTGTGGCTTGAGTCGAGAACGGTGCTTCCGAAGTTGCGAAAGCACAAGCGAACTGTCCCCACGGGTGAGTAGCCGCTAGCCTTCGCTTATCGAAGCCCGTGCAAGAGCCTCTAGTATTCAGCAACATTGTAAGTGGCATTTGCAGAACCGTAGGCCATGCTCGATAACCCACAAGACGCATGCTGCGTGCGGAATGTGAAGTCGGACAATGACGGATCCTGCTCCGCCCGGTCCAGGATTTCCTCTTGACCCCCGTCGAAAAAAGCAGGTAGAAACCCCCAGATAAATTGTCACGCGGTAGCAGTCGCAAGGGAGGTAGATTGTTAAAGCCGATGAGGGTATCAGCAAGCGCCGACCGTACTCGTGCAAACAGTTGTCAATCTGCCCCCATGTCCGGCTGGTATGTTGAGCTTCGAAACCGTGTAACCGCTCGCCGAAATTATGTCCTGGATCCCGCGCTGTGTAGACGGGCAATTCTACGAAGTTGCCTCGTACTACGAGCACACACCTTATGCACAAGCGAGGAAGCGGTTATACCGTCTTACCTTCGCGTGCGAGGGTGGTTAGGAGGTTGGTCGACTGCTTAAGCAGTCGTACCACCAGTTGCCTCTCGCTTAAGCGAGAGTGCAACGAACTTCTTAACACTAGAGCACCGACGTCACGCAGAAGTCTTTCAACTTCTCGTGCGTGGTGCGTTTGTTTAAGTAAATTCAAGACTGAGCTATATTTAATTAATCATAACTAAATATATACTTACCTACTGATTGGCTATATATATATATATATATAGATAGATCGGATATGCGACTCTTTAGAAGCGTATCCTGTCGAATGATCTTAAGTCTAGATTTAAGATCGCAACTGACGTCCTTCTGAGACGTCGTGATGCCTAGCTTCAACTAGCGTCATCCCTTCTTATGTGAATCCATCAATGGATATCACATTCACGAGGGTGGATCACATTTGTGTATCGCACCCAAGTGACAGGTCAAAAGTAATCATGGATACTTTTAGACCAAACATTAAGTATATTACTTAGTGTTTACGTGTAACTAGATGCCCTGTTACACCTGGGGTTCGTGGTTTTCGGATTGAGAGGCCTCCAGCCAGTGGTTGACATCATGGTCAAGGAATGCCGAAGCCTCCGTGACAACACCTTCCTCCGCGGAAGCGTTCACTTGTATAGAGGCTCCGGATTTATATAACGATATTCGCCAGTCGATCCACCATTTTGTTGTATGAGCGATAGTGGTGTCCCCAGCTGGAGACATTGATATCGTCAGCAATGGATCTTGCCTCTAGGAATAGCAGCGCCAGGTGTGGCTTGAGTCGAGAACGGTGCTTCCGAAGTTGCGAAAGCACAAGCGAACTGTCCCCACGGGTGAGTAGCCGCTAGCCTTCGCTTATCGAAGCCCGTGCAAGAGCCTCTAGTATTCAGCAACATTGTAAGTGGCATTTGCAGAACCGTAGGTCATGCTCGATAACCCACAAGACGCATGCTGCGTGCGGAATGTGAAGTCGGACAATGACGGATCCTGCTCCGCCCGGTCCAGGATTTCCTCTTGACCCCCGTCGAAAAAAGCAGGTAGAAACCCCCAGATAAATTGTCACGCGGTAGCAGTCGCAAGGGAGGTAGATTGTTAAAGCCGATGAGGGTATCAGCAAGCGCCGACCGTACTCGTGCAAACAGTTGTCAATCTGCCCCCATGTCCGGCTGGTATGTTGAGCTTCGAAACCGTGTAACCGCTCGCCGAAATTATGTCCTGGATCCCGCGCTGTGTAGACGGGCAATTCTACGAAGTTGCCTCGTACTACGAGCACACACCTTATGCACAAGCGAGGAAGCGGTTATACCGTCTTACCTTCGCGTGAGAGGGTGGTTAGGAGGTTGGTCGACTGCTTAAGCAGTCGTACCACCAGTTGCCTCTCGCTTAAGCGAGAGTGCAACGAACTTCTTAACACTAGAGCACCGACGCCACGCAGAAGTCTTTCAACTTCTCGTGCGTGGTGC